CAGCAGCAGCAGTCTCGTTTTAGGCAATGATGATGAAGCATACGGTCGAGTTGCAGAGAACTTGACTGGAGAACAGGTGCACACAAGGTTTAGAGATACTCACCCTGGGGCCAGAGCCACTTGGTCCCGCCCTCTTAGACATAAGGATGGCTTCATGGATTGGAAATGGCAACAGCAGGGTTCAAAGCCCCATTTCCTGAAGTGGGTGTTTTTAGTCATACTTAGCAAATAGTTGAATTGTGTACTCTTTGGCTGAAAACAAAAATTGCCACAGGACGAACCCTCCCTCCAATTCAGCTCTCTAGTAGGCTAAGTAAGGGGGACGCTGCTGCTCCCCGGTGAGGCTGGCAATTTTTCTGCTGAAACATGTCAGATTACACTAAATAGTTCTTATCAGCTGAAGAAGTCATCAACATAAACTATCATTACATTGATTCAGAGGAAAAGCTGGAGTTCGGGGTACTGAATAGAGCTGTGGGATTTTGTTTTGTGCCGTGAGACTGTATGGTGCAACCTCGGACCAGCCTGCAAAGGCCCTGCCTGAGCCCGAGGCCTGAGTGGTGTTCAGTGGGGACAGGAATGGGGCTCTTTTCCCAGGGGCTGTTGGGTAAGGAGACGGAACCACAGCACACATTGTGAGGCTATGCCTCTCGCCTGTGCGCCACGTTTGTTTTTCTTTACAGTGACTGCTAATCAGGCACTAGGGGTTAAGGTGGCAAATTAACCATCCCAGACCTCCCACCCTGCTTAGGGAATGTTTGTTTACAGGATGAGTGATTCTGCTCCAGAATCAGTGGGAGATAAATCAGACCAAGGCCTCTGCGTGGTCAGTGAGTTTGGAAGTGTTTACAAGAATTAGCAAGAGCTGTAGGTTAACGCCTCGATTGTGGCCATTGTTATTGGTCATGAGTTAGCAGTCACCAGCCTACTGCTTTTGAAAAATATTTCTGCTTATTATTATTTTTTTGAGAAGTGGGGAGAGACAGCAGGAGCAGGGGTTGGGGGTGGAGAGAGGTCCCATCTGCTGGTTTGCTCTCCAAATGCACACAATGGTCTTTACTGGGGCTTAATCCAGAAGACAGGAACTCAGTCCAGGTCCCCCATGCGAGTGTCAGAGACCCAGTTACTTACACCACCACCACTGCCACCAGGGTCCGCACTAGAAGGAAGCTGTTGGGAGCCGAGCCAGGCATCAAAGCCAGTGCTCCGGCGTGGGGTGTGGTCACCTAACGCCCAGGCTAACCCCAGTGCTGCAGGCCGCTCTTTTGAAGGCAGTGGAATTGTGTTTGATGACAGGGTGATGGGCTGCAGAGGAGCACAGGGGGCTGCTCGGCCAGTGCTGAAGGGTCTCCCCACTTCCTGAGGGATACCCTGCACATGGTAAATGCCCCCTGCCCCACACAGGGAAAGAACCCACCGTGTTTGGAAGACTGTCTGAATGAGCACATTTTCTGGAGAGCTGGAACCTCGTCCTTCTGCGGGAGAAGCTCCCAGATCTTGAAGCTGACTCTTTCACATCAGAGCAGTTGGCTCTGAACCCAATGTGCTTGGCACCTGCCTGCGGTGGCCACATCACACAGGGCCCCTGGCTCCTGCAGCTGCCCTGGTCCCCTTGGGGAATCTGAGCCAGCACTGCCAGGCAGCCCCGTGCCCTCCACACTGGGCGTGCACAGAATGTTGATTCTGACTTGGGGAGAGCTTCGCGCTCTCATCGAGGAAGCATTTCCTCAGCCATCATCCCACATCCTCTAGGGACTGGACCAGTGAGGCACTGGGGCCAAGATGGAGGCAGAAGGGTAGACCAGACTGTTGATGCAAAGAATCTCAGAATAAAACCCCAGTTCTGAGTACATGACTTGGAGCGAGGTGTGACATTCTTTAAGCCTTGGTCTCATCTACGAAATGGAGCAAGGGCTGGTGGAGTTGTTCTGAGTACTGAATGAGACAGTAGGCATCATTGCCTCCTCAATAGCCTAGCACACAGTAGGTGTGCAGCAAATGCTGAAGCAGCACAGAGCTGCTGGGTAACCTGGGTTACCCAGGTCAAGTGTCGTACGTTGCTTCACAAAACTGCTGGGGATGCAGCCAGGTGGTTCCTCTGTGCCCCGGAGCCTTTACATGCTTGGCCATCTGGGATGGGCTATGGAAAACATGACCCTCCCTGGCACAGATGGGTCCTTGGCAAGGCTGGGGTAACAACCTATGACAAATTGCGTGGGGCCTGGGGTCGGACAAGACAAGCATGCACTAACATGAGGGAGAGCAAAGGTGGGCAGGGGAGCCAGAGGCACCTGCCAGAAGGCCAGTGCTACATGATAGCAGGAGCAAAAATTGCCATGGGACGAACCCTTCCTCCAGTTCGACTCTCTAGTTAGGCTAAGTAAGGGGGACACTGCTGCTCCCTGGCAAAAATGGTAAAACCTCATTCTACCAATGACTCTTACCTTGTTCCCATATCCTAGCTTTTAGATTAAAAAATACCACTTGATTCATTGTTTTAAGTTGCCTTTTCTTTAAAAACTTTTCTCAATAGTCAGTGAATCTAAAATCAAGTCGACTAAAAAAGAATGGACAAGAAATGACATTAAACGCCACTCCTATCTAACCATCTTTTAGAAAGAAAGAGTTGGCTGCATTGAGTTTCCTTTTGAAAATGATGTATAACTGATGCCTTTTAGCAAGTTTATTTGTTGTTTGGTTGTGGTAAGGTCAAAAGTTTCCATTTCTGTGCATTTAAGCAAGGATGATTGACATCAAGGTTGTGGGTAGGCAACCTGGGCAGGTCTCTGGCTCGTCTTAGGTAGGCTCGAGCCTGGGGCTCAGAAATCACGCCACTCTAGACTTCTGCTCGGCAAGTGGTCTTGGTGTTACAGGAGGGCAAAGATGGGAGTTGCAAAGATGCTTAAGGCCTAAATGCTGGAATTCACAGTGACACCTTCTCCACATTTTATTGGCAAAGCAAGTTGCAAGCCAGCTCAGACGCAAGGGATGGAGAAAAAGACTCTAGCACAGTGCCCAAGCAAGACAGGGGCTAATCAAGACACATTCCTAGTTGGGTAAGGGGCTTGACACAGAGACCAGCATGAGGTCATGTGGCACCAGCAGCAGGAGAGGTGAGGCACAAGGAAAGAGGCAGCGAAACCTTTTGCACAGAGTGTGACAAAAGTTGGTTGAGGGGCCGGTGTTGTGGTGCACCAGGTTAAACTGCCACCTGTGATGCCAGGATCCTATATTGGAGTGCCAGTTCAAGTCCTGGCCACTGTAATCCCAGTCCCACTCCCTGCTACTACTTCTGGGAAAGCAGTGGAGATTGGCTCAAGCACTTGGGCCCCTGTCACCTACCTGGGAGACCCACATGAAGTCCCCAGCTCCTGGCTTCAGCCTGGCCCAGACCTGGCTGTTGCAGCCATTTGGGAGAGTGAACCAGCAGATGGAAGATCTTTCTCTTCTGTCACTCCCCACCCCCTGACCCCCTCATTCTGCTTTTTTTTGTTGTTGTTGTTTTCAAGTTGGTTGAGTTTCGTAATGCAAACTCAACAGGGGAAAATCACCTTGAATAATCATATGACAATTCGTGGACCGGGTAGGGGCTGTGTAACCTCTCATGGTTTTGAACTATGTGGTTAAAGACACTGAGAGTTGACAGATTAGTCAGGGATTTGTCAAGAGCATTAATTACAAACTTTGACATCTTGGCCTGTGAAAGTTCATCTTAGTGCATCTTGCAAATATGATCAAAGTCTTTTCAGTACTGATTTGATGGTGCTTAACCACAGCGTGTGGAGAATGAAGTTTGCATTAGACATTACTGGTGTAATAGAGCACGTTTTCACGGAGGAGTGGGGTTGGGCCTGTACCATTCATGCTGTCCCCCACTTGGCTCCCATTCCTCCACCAGCTTTTGGGGGCCCTGCCTTTTTTGGTGTTCTCTGAACACCTGAAATGGCATTCTGTCCCACTGTCAAAGAAACCGTGGTCTTCACCCTAGTGAGGGCCAGGTGAGGATAAGGTGGGCTCATGTGATATTTTTAAACCAAGACAACATGGGTGCTCACTGAGATTCCAGGGGTGACAAGAGTTTACAACTGCAAACTTGAAACATAGAGGCCCACAGTGCTGGCCTTTGTTTAATTTTAGAAAAAGGATTATTTTTGGCAGCTTTCTTTTTTTCTGGGAATAAAATAAAATGTGCTGGCACCTAAACTATGGAAATGAAAATAAACACGCACCCAGGGCAGCTTGTCCAAGGTACCGGCCCGCATCTTCCTCTCCCCTCGGCCAGTGATTTCTGTCTGAACAGCTGGGGCTATCCGCGGAGCTTTCAAGTTAAGGACAAGGTGATCACCCGCAGCCTCCGGTGGACAGCGCTCGAGGGTGCCAGCCCAATGTCGGCCCGCCGACCCACCGTGCCAAGCGCCAGGGCTGTGGCCAGCCATGTGTCAGAGGGCGCTAGCGTGGGCCGGCGGGCCGGGTGTCCACAAGTTCACCTGCTCTGAGGCGCTTCCCGTTCAGTTGCGTCTGCGCACCAGAGGGTGGCACCCCAGGCACTGCAGAGGCGGCGAGCTGCGGAAGACAGGCGAAGGCGAAGGCGAAGGCGGCGGCGGCGGCGGCGGGCGGCGGGCGGCGGGCGGCGGGCGGGGGCGGGGAGGAGGAACGGAGCGCAGGGAAGAGGAACAACTGACGAATTCTGAGGCCTCCGTGTCCAGCTCCGCGGCCGACACGGAGGCACAGCCGCCGCCGCTCCAAATTTCGGGGTTCTGCAGGGCCAAGTGTCACGGAGTTGGGAATTTCTAACATGTAAGGGGGGCTCCCCAAGGGCCATTTCACAACCCGGGGGCTTCGAACCCGCCCTGGGGTCCCCGAGGAAATTCCGAAGAGGATACCAGGTTTCTGAGGGCGCGGGGTGTGTGGGTCTTTGGGCCTGGTGGGAAAGCCGCCGGGCCCAGATCTCTCCGAGCGCTCCCAAGGTCTGATCCACGCCTTTGCGTCCTGTTTTCCAGTTGCTGGACCTGTGCAACTCCGTGAGAGACGACGCCCTCAGGGTGATCTCTGCTTTCAACATCCCAAGGACCAGCCTCCACGCACCCATCGCCGGGATCCCCAACCCGCGGGCCGCCTGGGCCTTCTATCCCGCCTGCCTGCAGCCGCTGGCCCGCGAAGGGCCGCCCTCCCCGCGGCCGGAGCAGCGAGCCAAGCTGTAACGGGCGTGGCGGGAGGCGCAGTGGCCCGCGCGCCGCTCGCGCCGCTGCCGCCCGGAGCTGGGGCAGAGGCCGGACCGGCACGCGCCGAGCCGTGCCCGCGGCGACCCGAGTCCCGCCGAAACTGGCGCCGCGCGTCGCTAGCCGCACAGTTAGTGCGGCGCCTTGCTCTCTCCCTGCAACCCCGCACCCCGCTAGACGGTCGCGGTGAGTTCCCCGCACAGGCGCGCCCCACGGTCGGGTGCCGCCAAAGGTGACTCAGATTTCTGGTGATTAAAAAAAAAAAAAAGTGGTGCTGGGTGAAAAAATAAAAAGCAAAACCTGAAAATCAAACACCCTTAGGCAAAAGCGGAAAAATAAAGGTTCCACCCGTTGTGCGCGCAGGCGAAGGCTCAGTTCGGCGGCCGAAGCTCTTTCAGAGAGGCAGATCCTGTTGGACTCGGTGAAGAAAGGCCGGGTAGAGGTAGGAGTGGGGGCCTGGGGCTGTGCGCCCGCCCCAGCAGGTCTCCGGGCCGGCGCTTTCGCGACCCTCGGAAGCTGTTATCTGCGTTTGGAAGGCGCACACCGACACAACCAAATAAAGCAAGCAGGCTCCCGCGGCTCGCCGAGAACCGGGAGGCGGGCCCCCGCGAGATGCCGCAGCAAACTGGTTTTGGAACTCCCACTCCCGTGGTCCGAGGCGCAGGCCATAGCTTTCCTATTCTAATCTCGTGTGCCCGACTGCATTCTTCTCTCGGCCCCAAGCCTTCTGCCCTCTCCCCTCCTTTAAGGTCCCGAGGCAGAGACAGAAGGGCTGCTGCGCTGCCTGCGTCCGCGAGGGCGACGTCCACGATCGGTGACTCAGCGCCCACCGACCCTTCCGTGCGCTCGGGCGCTTTTTCCGGAGGTGCGCTCCACGCGGCGGGGAACGCGGGACCCGGTCTCGGGGTAGCGCTCCAGACAGGAGCGCGCAGCCCGGTGCTCTCTCCCCGAAGCCTGTGCGCTTTGAAGCGCTCACCGGGTCCCTGGCGCGGCGCCCCGGGGGCGCTGGAGCTGTACAGGCGCGGACACTGAGCCAAGGGGCGCTCTGCTGCGTGGTTCTTTTCTGGGCCCTTGACTGTCGCCCAGCCCCGTTGAACGCTCGGGGCAGCGGCTTGCGCGGCCAAGGCTGCGGTGCTTGCACCCGGGGGCGACGCGGGGCCGCCAAGGCGCGGAGAGTTGGTCCGATCGTCGAAGGCAGACGGGCTAAGACTGGGCCTCCGAGTCCACTCTGCGCTGTCCACGCCCACGTCCTTGCCCTCTTGCAGCGAAACTCCCGGGCGGGGCCCGGCGCGCCTCCTCCCGCTTCTCCCGGAACCCGCGGCCTCCTTCACCTCGAAGGAGACTTTAACCTGGGGCTGTGCTGTGTCACGCTGACGCTCGATCTGCTTAGGAACGTCACCATCGACCCAGGCGGCCGGGCGGCAGGACGCCGCCTCCCCATGCCAAGGCCCCTTCCCTCCCCGCGCTGGCCGGGTGCGGGGTCGGGCAGCCTCGGAATCGAGTTTCCCTGATCCGGCTGGGCTGCCCTCCCCGGCGCGAAGTTCCCTTTGCGATCCACCTCTCGCTCCTTCCCCATGGTCGCCTGGAGGCCTGGGGCTGGGGGTTCGCAGGTGCGCTAGGGGCCGGCAGGGGTCAGGCCACCGGCCGCGTGCCAGGGAGGCGGCGGTCCGCGGTGCGCCGCCGGGGGATGGCAGGGCGGGGCGCGGAGTTCGGTCTCCGCGGGACAAGGGGTCAGGGGCACGCGTGGAGGAGCGGCGGGAGAAGTCGCGCCTCCGCTCGGTTCTCCCAGCGTGGTCCAGACATCGCCGTCAGCCTTCCCTCCTCCAGGGATTCCCGCTCGGCAAACCTCAGGGGTCTCCCCCGAGCTGCGGGTGTAGGCTTCTCCCGCACCTGGGGTCGGCGGCCCTCCTCGGTGTCTTTATTTTTTGTTCAAATGATTCATTTTCGAGTCCTTTTTTCATTTCCCTATTTTCATCCGCTCTGCGCACACTCGCATCCTGCCCCGCACCAGGGCTGCGGGGAAGACGCCTGCTGACTTCAGCCCCTGGCCCCTTCCCTCGACTCCCCCTCCCACCACGGGCTCGGGGTCTCTCGATGCCCACAGAGAGCGGGACAAAAGTTGGAGAGTTATTGCGGGGCCCGCGCCGAGCGCGGCTGCGGGGTGGGTGGGTAAGGGGATGTGCCGTCGGCTGCTCGGGGTTCCTTGGCGCCCGCAGAGCTCAGAGCCACGGTATCCAGCCCCGCGTCCGCGAGTTCTTCAGGGCCACCCCAGCCCCGGCACCTGCCCCGGAGCCAGCCCCTCACAGCGTGCCCAGATAGTTCCGAGAGGCCGACCCCGGCCCGCGTCGGCGATGTCACCCTTCGGGGTGGGGGTTGGGCGCTCACACCGCCGCCCGCAGGGTAAACACGCCGGGGCGGGCGGCGCGCAAGGCTGCGAGCGCGCGCGGCGGGGCCCCCAGCGGGCCCTCCCCCGCCCTCACCTGTGGGAACCTGCACGCGCCGGCCGCCCGGGCGCCACGGGGGCGGGGCCTGCGCGCCCGCCGGCCGGGGGCGGGGTGTGGGGGCGGGGCCCGCGGTGATTGGGCGCGGGCGCGGGGCGGCGAGCCCGAGCTGGGCTTGCAAGGCCGCGCTGGTTTCACTTCGCTCGGCGCCGCCGCGGCATCTCCAGCTCGTCGGAGCGCTCCATCCAGCATTGCCGCTGCCGGATCCTCTTAGCCACCCTGCCAGCCTTGCCCCATTGCGGCCAACACCGCCTCGGACTGCCTGGCCCGTCCCGATCCCGTCGCCACCGCCTCGGCGCCCTTCCCCTGACCCACCTCCCCCCAATGTCTGACTCTGATTCTCGGACTGAGAAGCGCAAGGTAAAAATGCCTGAACCCCGGGCAGCGGGCCGGGAACGGATGGGAGACAGGCGCAGGGGCCCGAACGGCTCCACCCACCGCCCGCTTCCCGCGCACGTGCGGGCAGACGCGCGCGTCTCCGTCCCGCTTGTCGCCGAGCGGGAGGCGGCGTTGGTGCCCATCGTGTCCCCTCTCCGGCAACAGGAAGGGTCATCCGCGCAGGGGTTGCATGCCCTTGGCCGAAGTGTGGCTAGGGCCGGGGTCTGGTGCGCGACGGTGCAGTGTCGCGGACCCGGGTGGAGAGGCGCTGGCCTGGGCGCTGGGGTCCGCTCTGAGGTACCAGCCCCGCACGCGCAGCCGGGAGATCTCGCTGCCCGGCCGCGGGTCGCGGCCTGCGGTCGAGCGGCGCTCTGCTTTTCTGGAGCGCGCGGCCGGTTGCAGAGGGTTTGCGGAACTGTGGTGGCTACTTAACAGGATAGTGGGCTTTTCCTTTTACCTCTTCAAGCCGAGGAGTCGGAGCAGTTTCTGCGTTCGCCTTCTCGGACACGCCTGGGGGTGTCCCTGCTCGGTCTGTGGACGTGCTGCGGGTGGTGCCAAGCCGCACGATCCGCAGACAGCGAGAGCTCCAGGGCCTCCCCTTACAACCAGGGCCACGAGCCCCGGCTGGCAAAACCTGCCCGGTGCGCGGGGCCGGGCTGTCTTAGTTCGAGCGTGCCCAAGCGCACCCATAACCCATCTGCGGTGTCCGCTGGAGGCGCCGTGGGCTGCAGGCCGTGCCCCCGGGGGTGGGCGCTGCGGGCTGAGAACCTGCCCGTCGCGGAGGGTGGGGACATGGATGTGCGCGCTCTGATTTGGGGCTGGCCCGCTGCGCGCGGGAGAAAGGGGGAAAAAGTTGGAGAGAGCTGCCACCGCGGCCGGGGCGACCGCAGAGGTCTTCGTTCCGACCGGCCTGAACCTAGGGGCGAGTGGCTAAGGCACGGGGTGTGACGGCGGCCCTGCGGCTCCTGCTTTGTCTCCAGGTGACCGGCTGCCGGGGCGGCGGCGGGAGCTGTCGAGGCGCGCGCGGTGTCCGACCGGGCGCAGGGGAGGCCGGGGCAGCCGAGCCCCCCGGAGCCTCCGCCAGGGCTGTCGCCGCGGCTGGCGGAGAGGCGCTCGGAGGCGAGTTTGTCAACAATCGCCTCGCCTTTGGCGGCCTGACCCGTAGGCGCCGCCTCCGCCTCCGCTGCCGATTGGCTGCGGCGCCGAGCGATCGCGCTCGGGCCAATTGGGAGCGCGGGCACCCGGCGCCAGCGGCGCGGGGAGGTCGGTGGTGCCGGCGGCGGCGGGCGCAGTGCGCGAGGGGAGGAGCGGGAGGAGGCGGAGGATGTTCCCGGCGGCGGCGGCCGGGGCAGCGCGGGCTGGAGGCGCGGCGCGGGCTGGAGGCTCGGCGCGCGGAGCCCTCGGCCACCCGGGGGATCGCAGCAGCGGCGGCGGCGGCGGCAGCGGACGGGCGGGCAGGCGTGGGCTCTGCGCTGCCCAGGGGGCTGTGAGCCCGAGCGCCGGGCTTTGTCTCCAGCGCCGCCTTCGTGGTGACGGTCTGGGGGCGCCGGGTCGGCGAAGGGCGCGGGCCGGACGCCGCGGGGCCCGGGCGCGGACGCCACGCTCGGAAGGGAAGGGGCGGACGTGAGTTTTGCTTGCCTGCTTTGCACGGGGAGGGTCTCGGGCGCCTGGCGTGCGGAGCGAGCTGTGAACTTCTGCTGGAGGGGGCTGCCGGGGCAGGCTCCGGGGACGGTGGGGGGGTCGGGGGTTTGTCCGTTCGGAGGCGCGCGCCTCGCAGGAACGCCGCACCGTGCAGAAGTTCTTTCCGGTTCGGCGCGGCGCGCGGGCGGGGAGCGGGAACGCAGGGCGATCGGGGAACACCGCAGCCGGGCCGAGCCGCGCTCGGAGTTACAAACTCTATTGTGACGCACTTACTACGACTGCGGCCGCTGCCAAACCTTCCCCAGACTTGCTGCCCTCAGCATTTTCGGCGAACAATGGGGCCGGAGCGGGGAACGCGGCCAGCCGCCTGCAATCGCTGCATCTGCGCCTGGCCCTGGGCTGCAGCGCCGGCTGATCCCGGGAAATCAGAGCCCGCTGGGCAGCCCGCTGGGAGTTCGGGCTGGTGCGGGTCTGTCTAGCGCGAGGAGCACATGCCGGTACAGTGCAGCCGAGCCGCTGCTGTGTGTGCGCCTGAGCCCTGGACGCTGGGGCGCTATTTTGTTTGGGGCTGCGGAGTTGAGTTCCAACTGAGGTCATGGGGGCTTTTTCGTTCTGGGTGCATTTTTTTGCTCCTATCTAGGATTTCATTTTAAAGTGCTTGAACTTTTTTTTTTCTTTAAGATTTTATTTACTTATTTAAAAGGCAGAGTTACAGAGAGGCAGAGAGAGAGAGAGAGGTCTTCCATCTGCTGGTTCACTCCCCAGATGGCTGCAATCCGAAGCCTGGAGCCAGGAGCTTCCTCCCGGTCTCCCACGCAGGTGCAGGGGCCCAAGCACTTGGGCCGTCTTCTACTGCTTTCCCAGGCCATAGCAGAGAGCTGGATAAGAAGTGGAGCAGCCAGGACTGGAACTGGCAACCATATGGGATGTGGGTGCTACAGGGTGTGGCTTTAGCTGCTGTGCCACAGTGCTGCCCCCACCCCCAAGCGCTTGAACTTTTTAAGAACTTTTAATGAGTAGGTGAAAGTTGGCCAACTACGCGTTTTTGAGCTGAAAAATAAAACCTGAGCTTTATTTATTTATTTACTTATTTTATTCACAGAAAAAACGACCAAATGGCCAAGCAACCTTCCGATGTAAGTTCTGAGTGTGACAGAGAAGGTGGACAGTTGCAGCCTGCGGAGAGGCCGCCCCAGCTCAGGCCTGGGGCCCCCACCTCCCTGCAGTCGGAGCCGCAAGGTAATCCGGAAGGCGACCGCTGTGCGCACGGCAGCCCTCAGGGCCCGCTGGCCCCATCGGCCAGCCCTGGCCCTTTCGCTACCAGGTCCCCGCTCTTCATCTTTGTCCGAAGATCCTCCCTGCTGTCTCGATCGTCCAGTGGGTATTTCTCTTTTGACACAGACAGGAGCCCGGCACCCATGAGCTGTGACAAATCAACACAAACCCCAAGTCCTCCTTGCCAGGCCTTCAACCACTATCTCAGTGCAATGGGTAAGCAAAGCCTGGGTAAGACGAAGCCAGCATACGGGTGTCTGCATAGCTGTGTGTGTGGCGTCCACGTTACGTGTATTTTACTTTTCCTGAAAGGTAGAGGTTTTCCATCAGCTGGTTGCTTCCCCAGATGCCCACCACGGCCTGGACTGGACTGGGCCAGGCCAAAGCCAGGAGCCTGGAACTTGGCTCTGAGTCTCCCGCCTGGGTGGCAGGGACCGAGCTAGTTGAGCCATCACCCGCCGCCACCGAGGATGTGCGTTAGCAGGGTGCTGGAGTTGGAAGCGAAGCTGGGCCCTGCGCCCAGGTGCTCTGGTGTGAGATGCAGGCATCCTGGGTGGTGGTCACTTCTGCACCGAGCGCCCACCAGGTGTAGTAGCATTTAACCCTTGTAGGATCCTTCCACCGGTTTGTTTTGTGTTTTGATGGGAATGGAGACTATGGCAAATGAAATGTCAAACCTACACTGTTTTTCCCCCCACATTAAGTTTGGTGGCGGCGATGAGCTGAGGTTCAAATATCAGCATTTGGGATGAAAGTTCTGAGTGTGCTTCCTCCACTAAGCTAAAGCCCGTAGCCTTGGCATGCTCTTCAGCCGCCAGGCTTACCCTGTGAGTGCTGGTCCACTTCCCAGGTAGCTGGGCGGTTACAGGAAATAGCTGAAGGTGTGGAGAAGCGGGCGCACGGGTGAATCATTTTCCAGAGTGACGTTAACCAAGTGAACTGTTCATCTAAGCAGAAGCAGCACGGAGCCATGAAGATGATTGTTTTTGGCTCAAGTGCCGCTCTGGGCTTACAGCGGAGCGGGGGTGTGGACTGGTGCTCCGGAGGTTAGGTTGTAGGCTTTTGTTTCAGGGACTAAAGGTGGTTTTAGGGTCGGCACTGGGAGTGGCCAGTGCGAATACCCAGCAAGGCCCGCAGTAGAGCCAGTGAGGCAGCCGGAGCTGGTAGAGGTTGTGGCAAGTTGGCGAGCTCGTGCGCCTTCTGTGTTAGGGCAGAGGGGCGGGCGGTCTCAGGTCTTCCGGTCATCCGGGAATGCTGACTTTGATGCCAGATAGGCTGCCATTGAAGCAAACTATGCTCAGGTGAGAAGCACTTGCAGCCCTGACCTTGGGCGTGCTGGCTGTGACTTTGAACGGTGGTAACCAGGGGAGGAGAGAGTCTCAGGGGTCCGTCCTGATGGGCAGGGTTTATATGTCCATCAGTGGCCACCAGAACCACATTTACTCTCCATCCAGGTTCGCCTGCCCTGTGTAAACAAACTAGAAGCGAGCGAGCAGTATAGTCCAGGACAGAGCCTGCTAGAATCTGAATCACACTTATCGTGCCGGAGGCTAAGCAGAGTCAAGTTCACAGACCAGAGCCCTGAATTCTGGAACGCAGTGACCCATTTTGGGCTTGGGAGCAGGAGTTGACCCTGTCTTCAGAACCTTCGGGGCGGGGGGGGCTTGGAGGAGGCAGGTACATGCCCGTGCTACAGAGCCTTTGGACACAGCCTCAGGAGGGTGTGTCACCTGTCAGAGGTTGGCAGCCATGGCAGAAATGGCAGTCGCTGCACGTGTTGGCTGGACATCTCCTTCTTGATGTGGCAGGCACTTCCAAAAAGGAGCTAGGGGCTGTTGCCACTGTTACCTTAATTAGGCCACTGCTGAGCTCCGATCAGCCTTCAGAGTTCTCGGTGCTCACAGCCGTCTCTAGTCTACGTGTGAGCCTCTCTGCAGCACACTTTAAATTATATGTATGTCTCATTCAAAGACAAACCTCCCTTCCTCTGGTACCCTGCTCAGATGCCCGCAATGACCAGGGCTGGACCGAGGCCAGAGCCAGGAGCCAGGAGCCAGGACCAAAGTCCAGGTCTACCATGTGGCTGGTAGGAACTCAGTTACTTCAACCATCACTGCTGCCTCCCAGATCTGCAGTAGCAGGAAGCTTGTGTCAGGAGCCGAGTACTGAACCCAGGCAATCAGATGGGAGACAGGTGCATCTTAGCCACTGGTGTAAGCGCGTGCTCCCAGCTGGGGGCATTCTTGCAGACTGAGTGAGCTGGTAGAGGTCCATGGATGTATGCCTGTTGTGAGCGCTCTGGAAGCTGTTGTAGTTCTACACCGAATGCCTGCACAACAGTCTCTGCTTGTGGCTACTTTGTGCGTGGAAATTGCTTCTCCTTCCTTGTCAAAGGTTAGCTGTTGAGATCATGCACTGGTCTTTTTCTTTTATTTGAAAGGCTTGGAGACAGACAGCTCCTGTCCCCGGTTCATCTCCTAAATGCCTGGAATTGTTAGGACGAGGCCATGCTGGAGCTGGGAACTCAGTCCAGATCTCCGGTGTGGGTGGCAGGGACCCAGCACCTGTGCCATCACCTGTTGCCTCCCAGGGTGTTGAATCAATGTGCCAACCTCCCACCCCGCATGGACTTCGCAATGTAAAGACGGGCACGAGTGTGTTTTTGTGTGACGAATGCTACTGAACAGGCTAGTTGTAAGGGAAACACCTGCTGGAGATGACAAGCTTTTAAGATCACTGTCTTCAGTGGGTCTCGAGATGGTGTTTTGTAGTACTAACCACGTTCGTGATAACTGGTGTGATACTGCGTAGGATTAGGTGATAAGTTATAAGGAGTTTGCTTGATTAACATACCAAGGTCTGTTTTCAGTATGAGGTTCTCAGGAGCTTTGTTTGGGAAGAGGATGTATGGGCGGGCTGAGGATTACTGTGGAGGAGAGGACTTAGGTGGACTTGTGAGTTTATTAAAGCCGAGACTAAACTTGGCGGTTTTGTGCTCTGTAACTAACTTTTCCCCTGGTCATTCTTACCCTCTTAGCTCAGTGCCTAAAGCCCATTTATGCTGGGTTGATAAGTGGTTTCTCTTATCTTTTCGGCCTTGTTCAGTTTTCCTTGCTCACCCGTATCCATTAAGATTTTCAATGCAGCTTTTGATAATTTATTGCAAGATCCATTTTTGACAAAGGAGTCTTTATGGCTGGTGAGAGGCCAGCAGGACCCGGGTGCGAGGTTAGAGAGGGGTTCTCCGTAGCCAGGGGCTCCTTCCGGCACAAAGTCGTTTTCTGCTCAGCAGCTCGGGGTGGAGAACAGCGAGTTCTTGCATCTTTGTTCTGAGAAAGCCCTGTCTGGGCCGCGTAGCAGGTAGGTGCCGGGTGGCAGTGGCCTGTCTTCCCCTGTGGGTCTCGTTTTTCTGCAGATACGTGGGAAGGCTAGTGTGTTTGCAGGCAGACAGACCCACTTGCAGTTTCCCTAAACCTTTCCCTCAGTTTCAGTCTCTCTACACTCTGGGAGGATTAACTTGACAAATGATCTCTTAAGTGAACCTGAATATTCTTATGAAAATCACCCACACGTGCTGGCTTGCCGAGTGCTTTTCTGGTGAGTGTTTTTCCACCGTGTGTGTGTGTAAAGCAAGCGTGTTAAATCCTCTGCATATTCTTATCCCGAAGTGTAGTCACTGTGTCTGGAAATAAGAATTGAGAAAGGCCAGGCTGTGGATGGTGCTGGCTAATAGTAACTCCCCACATGTCACGTTTGCAGTGTCTTTTACTTCTTATTAAAAAAAAAAAAAGATTTATTTATTTGACAGTCAAAGGGAGAGACAGACAGAGACATCTTCCATCTGCTAGTTCACTCCCCAGATGGCTACAGAGGCCACGGCTGGGCCAGGCCAAAGGCAGGAGCTTCATCTGAGTCTGCCACCTAGGTGCAGGGGTCGGTCCAAGCACTTGGAGCCATCCTCTGCTGCCTTTCCCAGGTGCATTAGCAGGGAGCTGGATTGGAAGTGGAACAGTCAGGACGATGCCCATATGGGGTGCTGGTGTTGGAAGTGGCGGCTTTACCCATCGCACCATAGCGCCAGCTCCTGTTAGTGTCTTAAACCAACTTGCTCCCTGGCACAGCAGAATTCGTGGATAGACGTTAGTAACATTCCGTGCTGCTCAGCGGCCTATGGAGCCTGGGTCCCTCCTTTAGACCCTGGGTACCTTATGGGAGGCTTAAGGTCCGGCAGGATCTCGGCAGCACCGGATGAACAGGAGAGGCCCAGGGACTGGTGGAGGGCCATGGGGCTCTGCCTCTTAGCCTTTGCACAGAGCAGTTTTCAGTTGAGAGCAAAGGAGATGCCAAAACAGATCTGCCCCCTGCCCCACTCCTCGGTATTTTGAATCACCAGCATCCAGTGTAAGGCGTGTCAGGTATGGATGGCAGGAGAGGTCCAGCTCAGTGCGCAGGGCAGCCGTGTGAGTGCTGAGCCCTCCAAGTGGGGCCAGTCCCAGTTGAGCGTGCTCTCTACATCAGTACACACGGGATTTTAGAGATGTAGTCTATTAAAAGAAAATGTAAAACATCATTGTCACATGGATCCCATGTTGAAATGCTAGTCCTTTAAATTTATGGATTAAATAGAATGCAGATTATTTTTTAAATTGTGGTTTAAAAAAATGCCATGTAAAACTCCTGGTCTCACCCGTTTATTTCAAAGTGTGTATGTGGCTCAGGAGTGTTCGGCACACTCACGTCACCGCCATCCGTGTCCAGAAGCAGATTTCATGTTGTAAAACTGCAGCTGCCCACCTGTTAAGCAGCCAGCCCCGGGGCCCCCTCCCCACAGCCCTTGGCAACCTGTGTGCTGTTGACTACTGTAGTACCTTCTGTAGGCAGAAGCACGCAGTCTCCGCGCGTCCACGGCCGGCTTGTTTTTCTTAGTATTGTGTCCTCGGGCTCATCTGGCTTGTGGCGTGTGGCAGAAGTCCCTGCTCCCCAGGCTGAAGAGGAGCTGCCCGCTGCGTGCACACACCGCATCTGGTCTGTCCATTCATCCAGCGGTGTGTGGGGGTTGCTGTTTCTTGGCTGGACTGGTGCTGCTATGAACACGGTGAGCAAGCGCCTTCCAAGTCCTGCCTTGGATTCCTGTAGCTCTGTCCCCGGAAGTGGACTTGCCCGATCCTATGGTGATTCTGAAATCCCCGTGCAGTCTCCCCAGGCGGCGGTACCAT